CATCTTGGGGCCACACATAAGTCTGGAGGAAACGGCCATTGTCAACTGTCGTCAGGACTGTCTTTATGGTTCTTGATCATGATGCATAAGGCTTGGGATCCATTGAAGGTCCCTAATTAATCTAATTCGTCCCTAGGGAGACCGAACAACCGATAACGACCCATACCATCACACGCCGAAGACATAATCGACGCCTCTTTCCACATATCCCGTGTCAAACGATGTTACGTGGCCATACACAAATAACATATTCGCTGCCAGAGCCAGCGTGACTGATCACAGACGTTCAAAGCATGGTTGCGGGACCTATTTTTTCAGCCCCAAAACCACCCTCCCGAAATAGGTCCCCGGGACCTATTTAACTAGGTGGGACCCATGGTTACCCCCACCCACAGATTCCTATTGATAGGGAGGGGGAATCAAGCGAACGAACAGCGGCTGCAGTATGCCAACCGCTACGCTCGATGTTGCAAAGAACACACACGTGCCATCATGCAATCCAACGAGTGGTACTGCGGAAACTGAAATGGGGACTGGCCCTGGCGCGTTAAATCCTTGCAAGATGCGAGCATCAGAAGCTTCTCAGTCCACGGGGCACATCATGCCAAAGGCAATCCCCGCGATGTTAAAAGGACTAGATAATCCACTTGACATTGGTCACGTCGCATCACGTCGCCAACGCTTCGGCAATTAGCTTTTGGCAGCGACGGTAGAATATGAAAAGATTAGAGTTTGCAAGTTCAATTGACCGAGGGCGGCTCGTTTACGTCTTCGACGATGATCGCCGAAGCTGCAGCATAGATCAGCGTCTCCACCTACCCAACCCGACAGTCTAGTTCGTGGCATCCCAGAATCACGCGTCTTGGTACAGCAAGACTGCAGCAAGACTGCCCTGAATCAGCCGCTCTACAAAAAGCATGAACAAGGCCTGCGATGGGTGGTAGCACACCGTGCCAAGATGTTTGGCCCCGTAGCCGATGAAGTGTTCTAGCTCGGCAGCTGCAGACTCGGTGAGGTAATATCAAGTGATGCTCGTCCTTTAGTTTGATGCACGTACTTCTTGCACCCTGGGCCAGTGACCATCACCGTGGAGTTTGACAAGCAGCCTGCTCGCTTTCACAAGGCACCCTTTCCGTCTAGATAGCCTTGAATCCTGCCTTTCCAATTCAGCGCTCATCCATCCGATGTTCCATACTGCGCAGCATGGCACTCTCCTAGGCCCTAGCACCAACCTGTCACAGCCGCATCGCATCAGGTCATCTTGACAATGCATTCTGCTGCCAATAACTCGCGACACTGTGCCCACCCTTTTTCACATCAATGCATCCAGGTAAGGAATGCATGGAATGCTATCTGTCAGGGCTGTTCACGTTTTTGGCTTTCCGAAGCGGGCTTGCCTGGTCAGGTGTCTGCAACCAGGATGGCAAATGAAAATGACAGTCAGCAACTCCTGTTTTGCCAACGCATCTAGCACCTGCTATAGAGCATCAGCTGCATGCGCTAAAATGAGGCACATAACATCACGAAACTGGTTGGCACACGGTACCGGTTACCTCAAACCTGTGAGATGTGAGTAACAAAGTTCTGCTATAGAGAACCAGGATGTGCGGAACATGCTGCAGACTGCTACCATGCGTCGCAATGTCCAAATTTGCTCAGCATCAACACTACGTAGAGGTCTGTGTGGAACCAGAAATCATGAAAGGGATGTGCTGGGATTCCGTGTGCAAGGGAATACGCATGCATATAAAGGTGTTTTTCGTCTGCCTAATGCAGACTCTATGCCAGCAGCCGGTAGCCCATCACGGTGCATAGCTAAGCTGTCTCGTCTGTACGGACCAAGAGAATCTTTCGAGCGTCTGCCACTGATGTCACAGCCCCTTTCATTGAGTCGGATGGGTCTGACCAGGACGCACTCCGCATTATCCATAGTAGGCAGATGGTAGGTGCGTTGCAAAGCTCAGCTTTGGCAACTCATAGACTTTGCATGAGTGTTTCTTGACATGGACCAATTAAACTGCTTTGTGTGACATGATTCTCTTTCAGCCCAGTATAATTTGACACAGGTGCACAGCTCAAAACTCTGGCCCCCACCTTCAAACTTGTTTCTGGCCACCTGGCTGTCATCTGATGTCTCATTCACTGCTACCGGAGCAGCAGCACCAGCAGCACGGCCAGCAGCACAAGCAAATGGCCCTAGAGCTACCTGAAGCCACATGCCATCAGGCAGGACTCTCAACCCATCCAAGAGGTCCTAACTATGGCGCTGCGACCTGTCCGGGAGCAATGAAACTGTCTTGAGGACTTCCCAGAAAAGCCGCAGCCTTGCAAGACACAACACAACGACACACACCGCTGTTGTTGGAGCTAAGGATGTCTCCTTTCAAACTTTGCTCAGAAACGGGCGTCACCGCTGTTGTCCAGCATCCAAAATCTCGTGCAATTCGTTAAAGCCTTGCGCTGCGTCCAATGTTTCACCAAGAACTAGCAACTAGCCCATGGTTCACAGTGCATGCCGAGCAGTTGACCGACATGAAGCCACAACCTGCACCACGTCCACGACACGAACCCAAGCAAGCTTGCAAGTGCCGGTTCCAGAAAAACAAAAAGCATGACTCGGCGTATCTTCTCCGTTGATTCTCATGCAGTTGGCTAGGTCCTGTACACTGCATCTGAACGTCAGACAAGCAGCAACTCGCTTCTGCGGTGTGAAACCGTGCCTCATCTGAGGTTTGGGGATAGTTTGGCCTTCAGATGGCCAAGGAAAATGCAGGAATGCCATAATACTGACGAGTCCAAGAAACGATCTATGATTCCCAAAGCTATTACCGATAAACATGTTTCGGCTCTTGTTGGACCAAAATTCAGCATGCTGGCCTCACTGTCTAGCCTGCCAACTGCCAATCATGGCACGATGTGAAACACTACTGACGGAAACTCGCCTGGACCAAGCCGCATTAATGTCTACTTCGAGCACAGCTCGCCGCTTTGCTCAGAAGTCACCGGCTATTCAGCTGGGTCCTATATGCAAGGCATGCAAAGCATGCAATGCGCATGCAGCAATCAGGCTTTAGCTGCTACCTGTACAACCTTGGACACTCGCAAACATCTCGCTCCGGAACACACACTCCGCGCGCTGTTGCATCCTCTCTGTACTTTTTTTGCAAAAATCATGGCCATCGTTAAGTGGTGGGCCCTCGAAATGCTTCAGACAGCCGCTAGCAATGACAGGAACCCATATTGTAGAAGAAAACCTAGCAAACCACAAAAACTGGACCCCTCAATGCCCTGCGATTTCAATCCTCTTCTCCCTCGGATTCTGGCTCGAAGTCATCCTCATATTCCTCCTGCTTGGCGGAGGCACTTCTCTGGTGAAGCTTCTGAGGTTTCACGGCCTCCATGTCGGCAACACCTCCGATCTCAACAAATGCAAGGTTGCCCTGTGAACATCGTAGGACTGATAAATATAGATACTGAGGCCAGGCCTGGAGAAAGATCATCATCATCATCATCATCATCATCATCTGCATTCCACCTGGCACATATTCATGTACGCATGCAGCCCATCCACGCTAGTGCCTGCTTTCACCGGCCTGGTGCTTGCATTGCTAATCGATGGAGATGACCTGCGTTTGGTCTCTAGCTTGTGCTTCACCCGTCATGAAAAGGACGTCCAGGGGCAAAGCTGTTGATGGCATTGCCCAGTCTTACCTCTGTGGCATCAAGGCTACATTCGTCTATGGAGAGCTATTGTTCCAAGAATACCTCGTGAGCACTCATTGATGGCATCGTAGTCTGGTTCTAAAGGTGGTCCAACATCATCTCCTCGGTCTCACAAATCCTTTTGCCGGTATACTGCCGGGCGTTATCCCATCGACTGGGCCTGCATCATCCAGGTCGCAATCCAGGAACGCGTTGAGGATGCCCGTGGCCTTGGTTGAGTGAAGTCTCTGCAAAGTACCTCTGTTGCTGGCTTTGAGCTTTGAACGGTGGGTGTCCCAATGAAGTGCTTCGATGCCTCAGGCCAAGCAGTGAGCGAAGCAGACATCTACGTCAACTGCACCTGCCTCCGACTTGGCACCCATGTTTCGGGGCGTGGATATGTCAAACTCTGCCTTCCCATTTCTAACAAGTTGCACCCTGGCATATACAGACATGACGCCTGCCTTTGGAAAATCTGTTACCAGAGGTGGAGGTCTCAGCTTGGACCTGCCCCCAACACACGCGAAAAGTGGTACGCAACAACACCCTGAGCAACCTGGAGCAACTTTGGGTCTATCAAAGTTCAGGACGTGTAGAACTGTGGGATTGATACCAGACCAACTTGTCACATTGAAACAAACACCAAGAAGTCTGTGTATGTGTAAACCACATCCTCCTTCGTCTCTTCAGCTGTCAGCATGCTGACAGCCTGTGAAAGGCCGAATCTGCATCTGCACGAACTTGCGCAGCGTTCGCGTCGCCACAGCGCATGGTTTCCACCTAGAAGCTTTACGTGGACATGCGCGGTGAAGGAGACTTTCACAAACAAGCATCGTCACATTGGTGACTCCAAACTTGTGGCAACTGGCAAGAGTGCCTCAATGCCGCCCAGCGGCCCAGCAAAAACTTGCACCAACGGCGGACGAATTCTGCATATGCACGGTTGAGCAGAGCGGCCGGGTCACAATGCATGCCCAAGGCAAGCAACCGTGGGCTTGCAACGCTCAACCCTTGCCAAATGGCAATTGCAGCTGCCTATGCTCGAAAGAAACACTATCACATCCATCATCTATCAATTCTATCACTGACCATGAACAGAGAAATGCAAAAGTCAGCGCGCAGCGTCCCGCCTTGGAAAAACCAGAAACGCCCTCGAGCCCTGGCAAACAATGGCAGGGCAATCGGCTACTAGCAGTTGGCCCCACACGCCCGGCAAGAGAGGAACCACTTCATGCTGTCAATTCTCTCTCTAATTGCAAGACCGCATGACTTTGGAAAGCGTCGCTGCACATGATTTGGTCTCACCAAGACCTGCGCAGCTGGGTCATGTGGTTCGAAGGGCAAGGCTTGGCAACCAAGAACCGGGCTTCGTAAGTAGTGACATTCACGAGCATGTACGCCGTGTGTCTGAGAACCAAAAGACCTCCAAACATATCCATGTGCTTCGAGCAGCAGGCCCCAGTATGCAGGAAGCGCCTACAAAGACCAGCCAAACTGCATCGAACCTAGAAGACAAATTCAGACCACCAGACTTATACCAGAACACCCGTCTGTTCAGCACCAATGTCAAGGCACGCACGCAGCTGTAATGAGAACAAGAATCGGTTGTAGCTCAGGCGCAAGAGACCTCAACACAGCGTATCGAGCATGTTCACAAAGAGCAGGATGTGCGATGGCACGAGGAGTTGTGCACGAGCTGTCATTGTTTTGGCTCTCTGGATTCCAAGCACACTTGAATGCTCCAGGGCTGCGACCCACTTGTCATGGCGTGCAGAAGCTCACCAAAGGAACCTATGCAGAACTTGTACAAAACGCACGGTGCATGCAAAAATCATGTGCTACAATCAAAAAACCTGTCAGGTCGGCGCTGAGGAAACTGTGAGTCAACAGTTTAAAAGTTTTGCATGTCCCTTGACGCCGCTGATTCTCAGCTCCGGGCCACGTGTAATCTCTGGAACCACTGTGTCAAACGCATACCTCAAGCAGGCGTGTGACTCGAGGCAGCCAGAACCGGACATTGATATCAGGGTACAAGATGACTGTATTGTAGAAATAGGCGATGGTGGCGAAAAGGACCACGACAAAGAAAAAAAAGGACCTGGCAGGCTTGGTCCTCGTCCAACTGACAGCAGACCTTCAGCGAGTCGTCAAGGCCTCTGGTTGCCCAATCCCACACCTGCAGTCTTCAGCTAAAACATGATCAATCATGATCTCATGAATGGTCATGAAAGGCGATGAACAAATCTTGCAGAGCCGTTTTCCAACAAAGCAGCATCACCAATCCGAGGTTCCAGCAATTATCTATCCAAGGGCAGTGGTGGTCCATTCTGTCAACGCAGCGACCGCACTCCTTGCCCACAAGCCAGTCACACTTCCAGTTC